AGTTCATGGAGGTCCCCTGATGCAGCTGGTTTTAGTGTCTCTTAGGCCCACAGGGTGACTGGTTAAATGCTAGTCTGATGGCTCTGGAGATTCTGTGGGTCTAGAGCTAAACCAGATTGAATCTGGATACCAAAGTGGTGCAGTAAGCCTGAGCCTTACACTGTCGTGTCTCTCAACCTGGTGTTTCCAAATTCCCACAGAGCTGGGTCTGTGCTGGGGGCAGATGACCATGGTAACTAGCCACACCTATGGTCACCATGGGATTGTGGGAACAAGAAGGAATTGCACCTTTCCCATTGCCTGTGTAAATCTGCTCTTCTAGGCCACCCACTTCTGGTTGGCTGTTTACCAGTCAGTCGCCCTCTCTTGCTACCCCTGCTCAACTTCTCCCAGCAAGTACTAAAGTCACTTCTCTGACCTTTCCTCTGGAAGTTCACGGTTCCAGAATTTTCATCTGGATCTGTTTAAATTTGTTTTGTCGTAACTTTTTTGTAAAGGCTCCGTGTAGAGTGGCTGCCTTGTCTTGCAGTCTTGTTGGAGGCCCTTAATGGGACTGCTTTTTTTTTTTTGTTTTTTTTCAAATTAATTATTGAATTATGTGATAGTTTGCATGGGAGAACATTAGCTTTACATCCATCCTATCGTGTATCGTTTCATTGCCATGGTTATAACCCCCTCCATGCATCATCAACCAACCAAAGGGTATACCCTGCAAACCTGCCCCCCAGTTGTCAGCACACAGCCCCTCTCCCTAGAGTCCCCAGCTGCTCCATCTCTCCACGTCATTGTCTCCGCCTCCATCTCTGGCATCACTGTTTCTCTGGATAGGATCCTGCACTCTGTTCTTCTCCCTTGATGGTCCCAGGGACCTCCGCTCCTGGACCGCAAAGTCAATCACTTCCCTCCTTTTGCTACAAAATGTCTACCTTTACATTTCCAACCCTCATAGTCAGTCCTTATAATAATTTACCATTGTACCACAAGAGACTATCCCCATTTCCTTTCATCAGCCCCGCCCAAACAGATTGGATCCTACTCAGTGGAGATTCTATCTTCCTCTGTGCCCTCTAGATCTAGGGTTCCTCTTGAAAGCTTGTAAGCCAGTTACTTCTTGCCTTTGTTGTTGTT